CCAGGTTCGAACCCGGTTTGGATTTTCTTCAATTCGAAAAAAATAAAAATACGTCATCCCGCGCCTACTATAAATACGATCCTACGACTTACTTCATTAGATCTATAGGTAGCCCAGCAGACTAGGACCAGGACTAGAAACCCAGCGATACAGGTTCGAACCCCGTTTGGATTTTCTCAATTCGGAAAAATAAAAATTTCCGCCATCTTGTCAACATCCGCCATCTTGTTTACCAGTAGCCGCCATCTTGTTTGACCGCCATCTTTTTTTCTATCCCGTTAGAGAGGGGTGGGGGAATGTTTTGACGCCAGACCATAAGTAGGTCACTGGGTCAAATATGGGGTAGGTGGTGGGGATCGATAATATCGATCGGTCATTAGAGAGTTAAAGCCAAATGGCATTTATTAATAATCTTTCTTATATTCGTTGTCAAGACAACGAATATTGATTAACAGTTTAAAGGGTCTCTATGACAGTTATAAACAAACTGTTATATGTCAGATCTTTGATAGCTGTCTGCTCGGGCGGACGTTTATGACAGCTCCGATCTTAGTACTGTATTCCCGGTTACTAATTATTGAGTTCTGTGTTATTTATTAAAGTGTTCTCTTTTATAAAAAGTGTTCATTTATTTGTGCGAACTGTGCGACGCGTTTCGGAAACGTAACAATATATTATTGTTAAATGTACAATATTGAGTTGTGCTCGCCTCTCACTCCTCAACAAAAATAAAAGAACTGCGCCCCTCTACCATATACTGAGCAAGGAACGGCCAGACATATTAAGTAATTTATTGGAGTTACCGTTACCGCGGTGCGATTACACGTACCTGGCGCCCATTGTCAGATACCGATTTTTTAAGTTGCCGCTGTTACCGCTTCAGTTACCGCTGTTACCGCTGTTACCGCTGTTACCGTCTTGATTACCAAATCGTGCATTTATTGCCGATATCGCGCAAGTTATACCTAGCTCCCGAATTACGTGGAGTATCGCGGGTTACAGAATCGTGCATTTATTGCCGGTATCGCGCAAGTTACCTAGCTCCCGAATTACGTGGAGTACCGCGGGTTACCGTTTACATTGGACGTGTTCCCTCGGACGTGGCGTGCCCGAGACTAGTTTACGTCGCACAACGTAATTCCGTTAACCGAAATTATGTATTCCAAAAATTTAATTTTACGTTTCAAAAACAAACATTTCTTATAGTTTAATTCAAAACTGTATTGCTTCAAAATGAGAAGCACCTCGCTGAGAATTTCGAGGTTTTGTTCGACTGTTTGTGTTGATATCAGCACGTCATCTATGTATATTAATACCTTATCGGCTCGGGTAAGTGAATTTAATATCTGTATAATCCGTTTTTAAAATTCGGCCGGTGCCTCTGAATACCGGAAGGGCAAGCGCGTATATTCGAACTGGCCGTCTGGCGTCGCGAACGAGAAATAGCGGGTTAAGTCGGCGTGTACTTTTATTTGATGAAACCCGTCTTTGAGATCAAGAAGTGTGAATACGGACTTGTCACATAATCGAGACAAGCAATCTTCTATCACCGGGAAAGGATATTTTTGTTTTTCGACCCGACTAATTAGCGGCCTTAAATCAACACATAGTCTGACCTGCCCGTTTTTTTTCCTTACAGGAATTACTCGAGCGCAATATGGTGAGACACTCGGACGAATAATTCCCTTTTTCAAGAGGTCATCGGTAATTTCTCTG